CCTTCAAAGTATTGCAAAAATACCAGATCTGTAGATGTATACAATTCAAACGTTATAAAGGAATTTTTTGGGGCAAATTAAAGTTTAGATTATTAATTGAGATTCAGATATACATTTACCTAACCTCAAAGAATTCCTCACGTTCCATTACATCTCTGAAAAAAACTGTCCACAACCCATGTTCACTATCTTTTCGCCAGGCTTTCAACAAAAAATTTCTTCAATGGTGAAAACCAAAATTTCAATTTCCACTCGAGAAAAACAAACAAACGCTGCCGTTAAAGAACACAGATAAGATCAAGTTCACGGATTCGTAAAATCCACTTAAAAATAAAACTCAATGACGTTAAAAAAAGCTCACTTTTGAAAAAAAAAAAAAAAATATTTGAATTGAAAATCATAAGGATCGATATGATCCTAGGTATATATATTGTATATTTGTCGTATATATATTGTTTATTGAGTGTGTTGTTTTTGTACGGGCTGAGTTTGGGTGAAATATATGAATTGAAAATCATAAGGATCGTATGATCCTAGGTATATATACTGTATATTTTTCGTGTATATTGTTTATTGAGTGTGTCGTTCTTGCACGGGCTGAGTATGAGTGAAAGATTTGAATTGAAAATCATTAATGATTGATAAGATTCTAGGTATATATACTGTATATTTTTTGTATATATATTGTTTATTGATTGTGTTGTGTTCTTAAAAACTTTTATAGAGTATATTTGTGGTATATTTTCTGTATATATGTAGTATATTTATCCGGACCTAGTTTTGTTTTGTATATATCACATCACTGATGTCTTATTCTACTCTATGCCAAAGATTGGGTTATATGGTAACTTTGCTCAGGTGAAAATACACATCCCTTATTTTTTTTAGTGAAAATTCTATCCAAAAATATTACTAGTGTGATTGAAGGAACGTGTTCTCTCACTTATCTGGTAACGAATTTTAAGTTTCAGCCCCAATAAAGCACTTGAATATGAATGCATGCAAATAAAATATCTACTTCGTATATCTGTAATAA